GATGACTTATTCTACTATCGGTAGTTACAGCAGCAATCTGTGAGGAATTTTGGGTGTAGTCAGTGGCATAGCGAAGTTTCTGCCTTCCTTGAACCAGTGTATAAAGAACATATGACGGAGCATGAGAGACTAGCCGTAAAGTTGCATTATACCGTGTCATGTAACTTTTAACTTGGTTTACACTTGATGTATAATTTCAGCTGGCAGGCTTAGCTGTCTTGTATGTTGAGATTGTTCCGCTTTTCTATATATTAGTCAGTGTCTTCAGGATGAATATGAGGTAGGTGAAGGATGCAGCTGAATATAATTTGGGTCTAGCAATGTAAGTAAAGGTGAAGTGTGGGAGTTTGAGCATGGTGGTATCCAATAGAAAGGGACCATGTGGTTAGGAAGAAAGTTTATAGGACCTAAAATCAAATGATAGGTTGATATTGGAATAGTGAATTGGAAAGGATTTAGAAAGAAGATGAATTACTGACAAAGTCATTAAGGTAAAAAGAGAAGGGTAAAGTCATTCCTGTGCTAAATTAATTAATTAATCACTGTGTCATGGAAACAAATGGGGAATGGAGGTAAAGCTCCACCATTCTCAACCTTGACACTAGATGGAGGTGAATGGTCAGCTTCCTGCCCTGGGCACTCTACATGAAGGGAAAGAACCCCTGGTTTCCATTGGATAGGAGGCTGGGTAGGCCTCAGAGCTGGTCTGGGTGCTTTGGAGAATACAAAAATCTCTTGCCCCTGCTAGGAATTAAACCCCAGCCATCCAGCCTATAGCCAGTCACTATACTGACTGAGCTATTAAAGCATACATAAATAAACTTCTCTACCTAGTGAAAAGTACGTGGTGTGTTCAAAAAGTATTGAACCTTCTTTTTTCCCTCATAAACCAATGAAGCGCGGGAGGCTCCCTTTGGTGGAAATGTGGAGGGGACATTCATGCGCAGTTGTGAATTTTTTCCCGCCCACAGAAAGCGTCAGTCGCTGGCAGTCGGCCTATGAGTGAGGATGTGTAGTGAGCGCTCGCTGGTCGGAGTCCAGTAAGGTGTAAAATGATGGAACAACATGAGCAGTGACAGTGCATCAAATTTTGCCAAAACCTTGGCGATACCCAAGTGGAAACAATTCGCAAGATTCAACAGGCTTTTGGGGACGATGCCATGAGCAACTCACGGATAAAAGAGTGGTACAACCGCTTCAGAGATGGCCGCACAACAGTGGACAGCAAACCGGGTTCAGGCAGACCCTCAACAAGCCGAAATGAGAATGTCATTGAGCAAACGCGGACTTTGGTCATGGAGGACCGTTGTATCACAGTCCGAGAACTTGCGAACGAGATAGGGGTAACATTGGATTGGTACATTCAATTTTGACCGAGGATTTGGGCATGAGGACAGTGTCCGCGAAATTCGTACTGAAACTGCTAACAATGGAGCAGAAGCAATGCCATCTGGAAATCGCGCAGGACATGCTGGACAATGCAAACAGTAACCCCAACTTTCTGAACACTGTGATCACAGGCGATGAGTTGTGGGTTTATGGGTACGACCCGGTAACCAAGATGCAGTCGTCACAGTGGAAACATCCAACATCCCTGAGGCCAAAAAAAGCACGGCAGGTCCGCAGCAATATCAAGGTCATGTTGGCCGTTTTTTTCGACTCCCGTGGGGTTGTGCATCATGAGTACGCACCACAAGGCCAAACCATCACAAAGGAATGCTACCAGGAGGTCCTTCATTGCCTTCATGATGCTGTGCAGCGCAAACGACCTGATCTGTGGGCAGCAAAAACTTGGCAGCTCCATCATGATAATGCATCCGGCCATCCTGCGCATCTGATTCAGACTTTCGTTGCCAAACACAACATCCCTGTGGTTTGTCAGGCTCCCTACTCCCCTGACATGGCTCTGTGTGACTTTTGGCTATTTCCCAAGCTGAAAATGCTGCTGAAAGGAACCCGATTTGAGTCGAGAGAAGACATCATGCGGAATGCGACGGCCCGGCTGATCACCATTCCAAAAGACGCATTCCAGAAGTGTGTCCAACAGTGGTGTGTGCATTACCAAGGAGACTACTTTGAAGGGGATTAGGGTTTTGTAAATCCAAATCAATAAATGTATTTCTGCCGTCCAAAGGTTCCATACTTTTTGAACACACCACGTATGAAGGTACCATGAATGGCTTATCTTTTGAAATACTTTGTCCACTTTTACTTTAGAAGAACCTTCACATACAGTGATCTTGGCAGTGTTGTAGTGCAGCTGTAAGATTATGTTGACAATGGATTGTACTATGAATGTTCTGAGAGAAGGAGAACTACAGTATGTTAAGATGGTAAGAGTTAATTACATTGTAGGCACCCATGAATCCACGAAGGAAAGGATGTTATGTTGCTATATGCCATTCTGCTGATCACAGTGGCCACACAGTTTAAGGCAGGGGCCATCTTCACCTGCTCGAACACTGGGGTCATGGGTTTGAACCCCATTTGAGGCATGGATGTCTGTGTGCATTCTGTGTTTGTGTTGCTCTGTGTCTAGGTAGCAATCTTGCGATGGGCTGATCCCCCATCCAAGGAATTCTCCTGTCTGCACATATATAGGATTAAGAAACTGAAAAGGTCGCCAAGGTCCAAAGGACCCTAGAACCATACAGGAAGACAGTGACATTCTAGAACATGAATTTTTCTGCAGGTGTGAAATTGCTATTTACAGATATTTCATTTCTGTGGAATTATTATAACAGCAAAGTGACTGGTTCTCTATGAAGACATGGTACTATGGGTTCTGATAGAAATTTAGAATTTTACATTTTGCAGAAAAGTGCTGCATCAATTTTCAGGGCAGAAGAATTTGCTATGCATGAAAATTAGGGTACAGATGTAGAGGAATGGGGAAAGGTCTGGAGCTTTGCAGATGTATTTCCAACAGCTTGTACATGTTAACCTCCCCACTCTTTTTCCAGTTCATCACATATAATTATTTAATCTTATTTGACAGCAGATAACTTGAGCAGTTCATGTGATATCGTTAGCAACCAAGTAACCACCCAAAATCATTGAAAGTAGTATTGTATCTCTATAAAGCTGCAGAAGAGAACAGGGAAAGTTGCCTAATGTTTGATCTCACTGTTCTGTCTTTGAGTTTATTTAACAACACTGTCAGTATTGAGACCATACAGCATTGGCTCATTATCATCATGGTGAAACTTTGCCTCTGAGCTTTATTGTTTTGTTATTTTTATTATTCAGTAGCAGTCCTGACAGCCATCTTTAAATATGCTTTGTTGTAATGTGTTAAGAATATTGTCTGTTGTTTTAATGTGATGATGGTTTAAGCTGCTAAAATGTAGCTTGAGATATGTCCCACTCTGTTTATGAACATGCACAGGCTACAGGTGTGTGTGTGTGTTACATGTGAAACAGTAATTAGTTCCCTTGTCTGGGATATGAGATTCTCACAGCAGTGAGTATTCAGGTTGTAGTTTTGTGGCATCTGACATTATGTAGTTCTTAGGTAGGTGCTGTTGCTTCAGAGGAACCATCTTCAGGCTGGTCTGAAACATTGGTACCTGCCTACTGAACTACATGCCATCACATACAAGAAGATTATAAACTTGATTAGTTTGCTTATCTATACATGTGCACAAAAGTGTGTTGAATATGTGAAGGCACACATTGAGGCTTTATTAAGGGTTTTAATTGTTGAACATTTTTCCATTAAAAATGTTATTGTAGGAGACTCAAGTTTAAAGGTGTTCAGAGAAATATGTGAACTACAGTCTTGAAAGCAGTCACTAGTGAACCACATAATACAGATGTTAGTGAAAAAATTCTTGTCCCTTAGAAATCAATATTTGTAGGGTAATAATTCTGGACAGCATACAAAAAGATTGTCAAAGGTGATTGTTTAAAAGTCTTTGACAATTTTTCAGTTGTTATAAGAATATTATGTTGAACATTGTCCATTGTATATTTAATGTATTGTTTCAAAAACTGGATCCATTTATGTTAGCAGGTGTGAGGGAAGAAGTGAATCCTACTGAACAGGATCTGTTATAAAGAACTGGGTCCAGTGATCAAGTCTAGCTGTTTCTGACAGTCCCAGCTGAGGTAGGATCCTGTCCCCCAGTATATCTGATGAGTGAAGTGGATCCAGTTTCTGAAATGTTGTGTAAGTTCGGTACACCTCGGGCAGAGGACAGTGACTGAGGGTGCCCTAGTTCCCTTATACTCCTCACTCTCCAGATCTCACACTGTCAGGTGGCCAGCCTGTTTGGGCTTCTGAAATATATATAAATTTTATTGTTAGTGGGGTGGGACTAAGTCCTTTGTACTGTGGCCACTTCTGGCCTATTGTATCAGCCCCAGATGATAGGTGAGGTTGATTGTGGAGCAGTTGGTGGAATGAAGATTGGCAGGGGAAAACGAAGTACTCTGAGAAAACCTGCCCCAGCGCCACTTTGTCCACCACAAATCCCACTTGACCAGACCCAGGATCAAACCCGGGCCAACGCGATGGGAAGCCAGCGACTAACTGCTTGAGTTATGGCGCGGCCCTTACATATATATATATATATATATATATATACACTTTTTGATTCCATGTGGACAGAATCCCAAGACCTACTGCTAAATATTATTTGAGTATTACATAGTGTAGCATATGGTCCTATTCAAAAGACATTTGCAAACTTTAACCAAGAACTTGAGTTTCCATATTATGGTCTTTTGGATGGTGCAGATGAAGAAGATGCTGGCAGTGTGCCTCGAAACCATTGGTACCCACCTACCAGACTACACTCTGTCATAACCTAGAAGAGCAGAATATGAATCCTCACTGCTGTGAACACCTCAGATCTCCAACAACATGGTGGCTGTCACGTTCAGAATGCTGTTTGTTCTAAAGGATTGAGGGCTTTCTTATATTATGGCTTCCTGTGTACTAACTGGTTACTCTGGATACTAATGCTTGGCTTGTATGTGGATGGAACATGTTGTAGACGGCTGAATGGTCTCACCTCAGGAGTGGTGACAGTCGTGAAGGGCTGCTTGTTGAGACCACTGCAAGAGCGGTGGGCTCAAAATAAAGACTTCTCTGCATCTGCATTTGACTTCATTAGTTTTGAACCCAGGTATTGAGCTGGTTCAAACATGTATGGTGATTTAATTCTTCTATGGCTTCCCTTGATATTTTCATTTTAACATTGTGCTTGTATGGTTGTATTATTTGAATTTACTTTCTTTTTTCAGAATTTTGTAGCAGGACTTTTTAAATTCTCTGATTTATTTGTTGCTAATCCTAGTTTGGAGCCGGGATAGTGGAGTCAGTATAACGACTGGCTACAGGCTGGATGGCCAAGGGGCCAGAGTTCAAGTCCCAGTAGGGGCGAGAATTTTCTCTTTTCCATATTGTTCAGACTGGCTCTGGGGTACACCCAACCTCCTACACAATGGGTACCTGGGGCTCTTTCCTGGCAGTAAAGTGGCCGGGGCATGAAGGTGACCATTCACCACCAACTAGTGTCAAGGTCAAGGAAATGTGGATCTATACATCCACTCCCCCATACGTCTTCATACCACAGTGCTTAATTAGTTACGCACAGGGACAGTTTTACCTTAATCCTGGTAAGCTAAAGGCAAATCTATCCCTGTAACAGGCTGTGGAGGCCTATAGGGTAATGAGAGGTCGAGGCTCCCACATTTTCTAGACAGTTGGCTCACAGATGGCGGTGAGGTCAGCCTCACATGCTGGCCAGCCTTCATCCTCCAGGAAGATTCCTGGTACTGATTTCTGTTAGAGCCAGAGTCAAGCCCAGGGCCATACTGTGGCTGGAAGTATTAGGTCTATTGAAAAATCCAGTGACCTCATCGGAACTTGAACCCAACCTTCTGGCTTGTAGCATAGTGCCTCAACCAACTACACTACTGCATGCCACCCTTAATTCCAGTTCTGTATGATATGTAGGAACATTTCTATACATTTAAACTTTTGTGCATGTTAGTCAGTCAAATATGTTTTTTATCAGTTGCAGAACTGCTTCTTTTGTGTAATACAGATGTTGCGATGTTTTTAGTTGCTGCAGTCTCATGTAGTGTGAAAACATTCAAACCAGACTCTTTCCCTGAAGACTTAATATTTGAAGTGTTCCATTTGTTATGAACAGAGCCCTGTGTTTGATTTCCTTATGCAGTGCTAATCACATTGTATGTAGGTGTCAGTGTTTCAGATTTGTTTTGTCTTTTGCAATAGTAGATAATAGTGAAGTAGTACCCATTTAACACTCCCCTCATTTCTAGAAAGTAATTGCCTTTTATTTTTACATACAGTCAACTCTCGATTATCCGGGGGCGGATTAACCGGTTTGCAGCTTAACCGGGACTACTGAGGCTTTTTTGAGGCTTATATGTTGTTTAATTATCATTCACTTTTGTTTCACATGGTGAGTTGTAACACTATTTTTGCACTAATGTGAACCAAGCTCTGCATTCTTTGGTCCCGTTATGCTAACACAATGTTCTAGGGTAGGGGTGAAAGAATGCAAGGATTTGTGGAAAGTTTCAAGGACAGATACATCGCCCCAGTTAGTTTCTTTGTATCGATCTTCAAGTGCGTTAGCCAAATGTCATGGTGTGAAAGGAAGCGTGTTGTGTTAAGTATTCAACAGAAAAAGGAAAATGCCGTGAAAAAGTAAACGACAGTATTAAATTTTTTTAAGTAAGTGTTAAGTGTGAATATTCGTAAAAAGTGTTGGATGTTGTTGAAGACCGTGATTGAAATAACTAATTCATACTTCAGTGTAATGTAAAAAAAGTATTAAATAGGCCATGAGATGATATAAAAATGAGGTTGAATAAATTTAAATACAGGTAGGCCTATAATATTATGAAGGTACAGTATTACAGTACTACTTTTAATAAAATTTGTCTTAACCGGGTTTTCGATTAATCGTGATTTCCATCCCCACCATTATCCCGGATAATCGAGAGTTGAATGTAGTTTCAGAAGCTAGTTGTGATAAAGTCATGGAACAGTATTTTATATTGATATAAATGCATCTTTTGCATGTTTCCTGTTTTTCTTGAGATTATATTTGTAGTACAGTGCCCTTTCTGGATCGTTTATATCTTATTTTTAAACATTTCAAAATGTCACACTTCTGAAAAAATATTTTTGAAGAAATTATAGGCCTATGTATTTTAGGGCTGTAACGTTTTTGTTGCCATGGTAATGTTTTTACTGAGCTGTTGCATAACAGTGATAGCAGGATACACACATAGAGACAGATTCATGAAGTGCACTGTTGAGATGGACTCAGGTGCCATAATATATGTACCAAGTTTCATTAAGATTGGTTCAGGAATTCAGAAGTTGTTAAGGGAGGTACACAGACATGCAGACAGCATAGTGATCTCATAAGCTTACTTTTATTTTTTTTCAAAATAAGGAAAGTAGGCTAAAAATGTAAAAGTTTAAAATGTGCTGTGCTGTTAGGATAGTCAGGTTATGTGTGTTTGCTACTTCCCAAATATTTAATTGAACAATTGGCTTTGCACTGGAAACTCTGTCCAGTGACTGCTTTGTTCGATAATTGAAAATAGATTCAAACAAACATGTCTTTGAGGCTATAGCTTGTGCATTTAATATAGTGGCAATTTGTAATTTGCTAATGAATGATGATGATGATGATGATAATTACAATGCCAAGAATAATAATAGAAGTCTACAGCATATTACTGCTGCAAACAGTAAAGAAGTGCCAACTCCAGTAGGATCCAATCATGTAACTGCTCACAAGATCAACATGCAAAATTGCAGTATATTTTTCAGTGCAGTATGAAAGTAGGCTTTTTCAGTTTTGTTTAGATCTCCTCTGTTCTTGATGCACAGTTAATATTTCATGTGCATGTGATGCATTGGCGAACTTTATCTTGGAGGGGGTATTGACAGTAGGATTAGTACTCTCTTTGCAAATCTTCCTCTCTCTCAGATTTAGAATATGAAAAGTTGAAATAGTGCTGTGTGTGTGTTGGGGGGGGGAGGGTTATGAGGGTAAATATTTAAATGTAGATATGTCTATCATAGGCCGCGCCATAGCTCAAGCGGTTAGTTGCTGGCTTCCCACCGTGGCAGCCCGGGTCTGGTCAAGTGGGATTTGTGGTGAACGAAGTGGCACTGGGGCGGGCTTTCTCCGAGTACTTCGGTTTTCCCTGCCACTCTTCATACCACCAAATTCTCCATCATCATCATCATCACCAGGGGCAGGCTACAATAGGCCAATCAGTGGCCGCCATGCCGAGTGGACCCAGTTTGACTCCACCCCCCCACTAAGTGAATTAAAAAAAAGTCTATCATGAAATAGCCAGGGTAGTGCAGTCAGTATAGCGACTGGCTATGGGCTGTATGACTGAAGGGTCGGAGTTTGAGTCCCATCATACAAACTGGCTCTGGGAATCACCCAGCCTCCTACCCAAGGAGTATCAGGGGCTCTTTCCCTAGGAGTGTGTGAAGCTGATCACTCACCTCCTCTTCTGCTAACCCAGCATTGGGGTCCTATTGTTCTGCAGGAATGTGTTGTGCGAATCTTTGCCTAGCATTTGTTATACACGTCACAGTACTTATCAGTGTAAATGCTTTAATGCAGGGCTTTCAGTCATCGAGGAAACCTTGCAGCAGCATGGATCAGATACAACATTTCTCACAGATTTCTGTTGTAACTGCCGATAGCAGAATGAGTCATTAGTGCTGATAAACGCGCACACTCTCGCTAGCATAGAGTGGATGGATTGTGTCTCCGTGACTACTGTGCCCTTTCCCGCTAGTGAGAGTGCAGTCATGTCACTGATTCTGTCACATCAGTTTCTGTACATGCACACATTCATAAGAATACTATAAAAAGATAACACAGACTTACTGTGCTTTATAACAGGCGCTGAATGTGACCCCCTTCTACTTACAAACATGCCTCCCATCACGTAAGTAAATTATGTGACACTTTCTGAAGTTGGTCCATGGTAATTGTATCAGTTACACGTGTTATTTCAATCTGCAGAGCTTCAGCGCTGCGAGGATTATTCTTGTAGACTTTTCCCTTTTGGTTTCCCCAAATATAAAAATTGCAAAAACTGAGATATAGGGCTCTGGGAGGTCACAGTCCCCTGCTGATTATTCTGTCATCAGACACTTCCCATATTGCAACCATGGTTACATTAGCCATATGTGCTATAGTGTTGTCTTGCTGAAAATACCCATATTGTGTTTTTTCTTCTGTCAGCTGATTGAAGAATGGATTCAGTATATCATTAATGTAGCGGTCAGAGTTCATGGTTTCATGGAAAAATAAGGGGCCAATGATTCGCTGCTGACTTACAGCACACCACATGCCCACCGTTTTACTATGTCATGGCACTTGCTGTATAGTGTTAGGATTTTCATCGCTCCATATTCTTGCATTCTGTGCATCGACATGACCACTAACGTGAAACCATGCCTCATCAGTCATGAACAGAACCTGTGGATCAATGATTCCATTGTGCATATTTGCAGTAGCCAGTTACAAAAACGACTTCTTGCTGCATAATTTGGTTGTTTCAGCTCATGCACAACTATTACTTTATAAGGGTGAAATTTGATTAATTTTGTAGCTCTGAAGGCAGATCCTAGCAAAACACCGGTTTCCTGTGCTAGGCGTCTTAACGATTTTCGAGGACTGATCTGTACTCGTGCCTTAATATCCCGAACTTTTTCTTCAGTCAGCACAATCCTCTTCGATTGCTTCTTTATGTCACACACTGAAACTGTGGCCCGCCACTTTTTTACAAACTTGGATACACACGATTTTGTGGGAACTGGCGAGTCAGAATATTTATGACGAAACTTATGGATATATTTTATGTAAGTATTTTTCCTTGCAAAAGTTTCGACAATAAACACGCAGTATAGAGACCAGGCTACATGCTGGGTGACCCAGGAGAGTCAGTATAGAGACCAGGCTACATGCTGGGTGACCCAGGAGAGTCAGTATAGAGACCGGGCTACATGCTGGGTGACCCAGGAGAGTCAGTATAGAGACCGGGCTACATGCTGGGTGACCCAGGAGAGTCAGCATAGAGACCAGGCTACATGCTGGGTGACCAAGGAGAGTCAGCATAGAGACCGGGCTACATGCTGGGTGACCCAGGATGACCCAGGAGAATCAGTATAGAGACTGGGCTACATGCTGGGTGACCCAGGAGAGTCAGCATAGAGACCAGGCTACATGCTGGGTGACCCAGGAGAGTCGGTATAGAGACTAGGCTACATGCTGGGTGACCCAGGAGAGTCAGTATAGAGACCAGGCTACATGCTGGCTGACTATCAAATCTCGGTTCCTTCCTTGGCAAGGGCAGGAGATTTTTCTGTCCTCCACAGTATCCAGACCAGCTCTAGTGTGCACACAGCCTCCTGCCCAATGGATACCAGCGGTCTCTCCCCACGGCAGTAAAGCACCCAGGGCATGAAGCTGACCACACCCCTCTGCTGTGCTCCCCAGTGGCCTAAATTGTACTGTGCTTCATCAAGCACAGGAATAAGTTTACCTTTAACTTCACTGTGCCTTAAAGTTTATTGTAATGATTAGGTGCAGTTGTAAGTCATGTTTAAATGTGACCTGGTAACTGACCTCACTCTGTGTGAGTTACCACTGCATTTCTCTCTAAGAATGTCTTTGTGGTTCTGTGAATTTAGATCCCGTAATATTCGAGGGTTGAGAGTTATGTGGAATAATGGACAACCCATAACATTCAGAAAGAAGTGGAATCCTTTCAGTAACGATATACCATGGACAACATATACATCACATCCACTTTTGTGGCGGAAAGGTAAGTTCTTCGAATGGAATGCTTTCTGTTGTGATATAGATAGTTTTTAATTGTGTACATGAAGTGCATACATAAATAGGAGAATAATGTTAAACTGGATCTTAAAGAAGTAGTGAATGATGATGTGGACTGTGTCTGGTTGCTTTTGGGTGTGGCAAAGTTGCATGAAGTTCCTTCTGTATGTAAGCTTGTTTAAGTGAACTCCATTCAGAGATTCCTCATGGCAACTGAGGCAGGTACTGCACCTGTTGTTAGAGGACTGTCTGCGCTGCTGCTGAAACCACTGCATCACCATGGCCTTTGATGTTTTCATGCAATCCAAATCTGCAGCCTGTTAGTACTTTCTTGAGGGGTCTGAGCACATGAAAGTCAAACAGTGACAGGTCCAGGTTATGTGGGGAATTGCCCAACATCTTTCCATACAAGGAGCACAGCATGTCCTGGACAGTGTGAGCCACATGTCAATACATGCTGTTTGCAACATAATGGCATCCCTCACAAGTTTGTTGGGACTGAAGATCTCAAAGGCTTCCACAGCAGTTCTGTGTGCTTTGGGTCCTCAAAAGAACTGAAGTACAGCCTGCTGGTCCTGTTTAGACAGTTTATGCAAGTGAAGTGCACCCATTCTGTTGTGTAGCTTGTGATCAACTGCTGGTATGTGACAGCCACATGATTGCCTGTGATTAGCCATATTTGCTAACAATCAATCCAATGACCTCATCAGGAATCGAACCCATGACCTTCTGACTTGTAGCACAGTGCCTCAGCCAATTCAGTAGAGTAACTAATTACTGAATGGATGCACTGAGGACGGAGCACGTAGTAGTGTTGTTGGTTGAGGCACTATGCTACAAGCCAAAAGGTCGTGGGTGGCCCTGGGGTTGACTCAGCCTTTAACAGAAATGAATACCAGGAATCTACCTGGAGGTAAAGGGCAGCCGGTGTGTAAGGCTGAAATCCTTCCAGCTGCACTATGTACCTGGAGTTGACTCAGCCTGTAACAGAAATGAGTACCAGTAATCTTCCTACTGGTAAATGGCTGACATCCTCACTGCCATCTATGGACCGATTGTCTCGAAAATGTGGGAGCCTTGGCATCTCATAACCCAGTGGGCCTCCACATACTGTCACAGGGATAGCTTTACCGAGCTATTCTCCATATTATAATTATTGGAGTTGTTCACTAATTAAACCAGGAATCTGTAACTTTGGCTTTTTGGGTTCAGCTACATTGTATGTTGAAATTGCTTCATGGCACACATTGCAGTTGCCATCTGTGGGGTGAAAGATGAAAGGGGAGAATCTGGCCCAGTACATAGGTCTCATAGTGGGTGTATATTGGACCACATTCACCATAAAGATGGTGACTTCAGTGTATGCTGAAGAGTAGAGGCTGCTTCATTATTCAACCCAACTAACGCCCAAAAGCTAGACACTGGACACAGGCCACAAATGCCTTGGGACAGGAATAAACTGAAACAGGCTCTCATCATTGCGTCATATCCCATAGCAGACATGTTGTAATGTGGACCATAGAAATATGAAAGTCTGTGCATGGAACAGCTCTTGGGTAGAGATAGTGCTGGTTGCTTAAAAGACCACTCAAATTAGATGCAAACAAAGACAGCATATTTTTGTGTGTAATTTGCATGGATTTTGATGGAGTAAGCAGGGAATATTGAATTTACATTCTGCAGCTTCTTCCCTTCTGAGTCTTTGGATTTTTATAATTCTTTACACAGTATGTACAAGTGTACTACTGTTTACACTGGCCAGAAATCAGTGTATTTAATTCATTAAATGGCGCTGTTAGTAGTGTAGACTGTAAAATTTCAAATGATAACTTAATGTGACACTTAGATCCCTTCCTAGGGAATGCGTTGACAAACACATTTCCACGGAACTAATTTTTCAAAGCCAACTTATCATGGAACACGTTTCAGGGTATACGAACATGAAAGGTGTTCCCACGGAAATAGATTATTGGAAACCAACATGTTTCTGTGAGATCACCAGATTTTCCCTAGATACGGATACGCTATATAAGATGCCTTTCAGACCAGAATCAAGTCAGTTGTAGTTCAGATCAGAATAGAGAGAGATCACATTGGATCAGAAATTAGCTGAAGATTTATTGTGAATCATTGTACAAGAAGGTGTTAATAAATCCGATCATCCAATCCAGTACCTGTTATTATTAGTCATGCCCATAAACACGTAACAATAATTAGTACATAACAAGTAGGGAAGGATGTCGACGCATGCAGTCATATGTTTAGCTACTGCGGGACCTACGGAACAATGGCTGATACCATGGAAATCATAACATTAGGAAGAAAGGGAAAATATTTGAACACATTGGGAAAGTATCACATTTACAGTCAGTCAGGATGATCTGAATATGAATGACACACGCATTGATACACACAATCCCATATTTCAAACATTACACAAAATTTACACAAGACAACAGTACACACATCTCCCCCATTCTCCCCCCACCCCTCACCACCAAGCTACATTATAAATACAGAAGTAAGCACTCCACACACGCATAAGATCTACCACAGTGAAGACAACACCATACACTGGTGGAGTGAACGGCATATGGACAGGGGCAAGTGAGTAGAAAAACAAACAACATAATAGTAGTAATAAGAAGCAAAAACAACAAAAAATGTGGGTTTTACATATTGCAGACCTAACAGCAACAATGGGCTTGCACATTGAAGCAACAGGCAGCTGAAAAAAAAACAAGGACGGTCGAAATATATACTGTTTGGACAAGTGGACAATGCCCTAGAGAGATGTAGGAAGTGTACACAATTTAATAATAATTAAAAAAAAAATTAAAAATTTAACATTAAATTTAATTTAAAAATTGTAATGAAATTTTAGTTAATTGCAATAGAAAGTCAGTCAGAGTTCATGGTGAATTGACTAATGTTAGCTGGATTGTAAGTGCAACATTCAGTTACACCTGAAATGTATGACCGATATTCAGTGTAGGTAACAGTTTTGGCGAATTGAAGTACCTGATGGTGGCCGGTTGGGGCCGAAATATGTTGTAAAAAAGTGGAAATTCTAAGGAATAAAGTGGTTGCATTGCTGATTGAACTGTAATATAAATATTCTATATGAGTTGAGAAGATGCTTATCAATGGGATGGTTGTGACAGTTGGAATGGAGTGGGTATGGTCAGTTTGAAGGTACTGTTCTTGTATTTATGTGGAGGGACTGAGGAAACCCACAAACACCTGATTCAGGCAAGCTGGTGAGCTGGCTAACATTTGATCCAGGCACCTCTTCCTTATGAGCCTTGCTGCTGTGCTAACCTGCTTTCATGTTCAATTTTGTTGCTGTTACTGAAATACAAGTCACCCAATTTATGTAAGTCTGGCAGCAGGGGAGGAAAGGGGTTCCTCTTGTATGCATGTGTCTGCACTTGTGTTGCAATGCCTGTTCCTTAGCAATTGAGCTGCAGGCTATGTAGAAGCCAGGTGGCTCTTTGTGGGCATTGCTTCAAAATGTACATTTTTCTAAAATTCATCTTTCATTCATGATTAGAAGAAAAGATTGTATTCAGAATTCAACCACATGTTTAATTTATTGTGGTTGTCTTTGAGAATAAACCCATATACTTGTATTATATTTAAGCATCCTGTTGCACTCCATACGATAAATGATATAATGATACAAATTCCGTCCCAAGTGCAAACAATATATTATGTGTCCTTGATCTTGCTCCTCTACGTTACATGTTTCGGCCTCAGACGGCCATCATCAGGTGTATAACACTCACGTTGTTGTCACACTGCACCCAGCCCAAAATTTAACATTTGAAACACTTTCCTTGTTATTATCAACATCTACTTCGTTGATATCTGTCTGGTTTGTAGATTATTTTACACACATTAATTTTGACGTTCTTGTAGTAGCACTATAAAATCTTTAGTTCTGATTTTAAAATCTTTTAAAATTTCTCTCTACATTTTAAATTTAAAATTGTTAGGGTTACTCACCCTATGTCTAAAGTGCTGCAGCGGCAAGTCTTGTTTCCACACTGTATACGTGTTATCCTGTGTAGTCTTCCTGTGTGCGTGCCGCTGTTATTCTTTACAAGTGTTCTGTTATTCTCTACACGTAGTAAAGAATAACAGCGGCATGCACACAGGAAGACTACACAGGATAACATGTATACAGTGTGGAAACAAGAACTAGTCGCTGCAGCACTTTAGACATAGGGCGAGTAACCCTAACAATTTTAAATTTAAAATTTAGAGAGAAATTTTAAAAGATTTTAAAATTAGAACTAAAGATTTTATAGTGCTACTACAAGAACGTCAAAATTAATGTGTGTAAAATAATCTACAAACCAGACAGATATCAACGAAGTAGATGTTGATAATAACAAGGAAAGTGTTTCAAATGTTAAANTACTTGTAAAATACATGTATTCCCCCCCTCCCCCCAGCATGTGGGTTGATACTTATGAGCATGGCATGTGTCTCAGGGTATCACATTCAGTCAGAAAAGTTAATTTGTTGAAGGGTGAATTTTCCTCTACAGTATGTTAAGGTACAGCTACATCTCCTTGTGATACATATTCCACTGTGAGGATGTGCTGCTCATTGAAGGTTAGATTAGAAAGAGATGCTGGAGCTGTGGCCCACAATGTAGATTCATTGCCCTGATGCCAAAAATTTGAGAGTAATTCCATAGAACAGTCCCCTCACCCAATGCAAATGAGACGTGGAATCTTGGGGAGTATTAGTTAGTTATTGGAGAGGGTGGGTTTCCCCATGCACTGAGACCAGTATTGGTCCATTGTGCTTCCCTTCTATGATATTCTACCAGTCTCTATACCCTACCGATACTGGTGCTTACCATCAGTCCCGACCAAGCCAGCGAGTTCGGCCTCTACTGGCTTAGCGGTATCTATAATGCTTCCCCCATCAGAGGCGTTAGAGACTACTGTTGGGTGGGAAATGTCCTTGAATTTGGCTCAGTGACCTCCTTAGGAGATATGAGATTCTTTTACGTGCCGTAAAGCTACAACACGGGACCCATGGCTTAAAGTCCCTCCCGGAGGACTTGTTCCCAGAATGTTTCCGCCCTTAAAAATTCCACGACCTCCGCCGGGTTTGAACCCACGTACTATGAGTCATGAGGTGGGAACGTTACCTCTAGACTACGGAGGCCACTATCTTGGGGAGTAAGTTCGAGTGGTAAGTGAAACTGGGAAAACAGACAAAAACAATGTAGAGGGCTATGGAAACTGGACAAGTTATCCAAATGTGAAAGTTTATGTTCATATCTGCTGTAAACCAATGTGCGTAGAATGCGCACAATGGATGCACATAAGTTCAGTCTACCTGTGCACATTTGTTTCATCTTTGAAACTGATTCTGACTGATTATGTATGAATGTTATGTTACTGGGGGTCATCCCAAACGTGTAATCCTACACCCAGTTATGGTAAAATGGCAGACACAAGAATTCATGGTGTCATTGGCAGTAGTGCCACTACTGAAATGTGATGACTGGTAACCTGTGAAATGGTAGCAACGATGGTAACCAATTTTAGAGCTTTATTAAATGTACAAGGTGTGGCAATAAAGAAACCGGATTCATGCTCTAACCCTTTATTAAAAAAAAATCAGACAGTCGAAATGTTATCCCCTTCAATGTAGTCCCCTCCCCGATCCCTACACCGCTCCATGCGAATTTTCCACTGTTGGAAGCAGTGCTGCAGGTCATCTTGTGTTATGCTCTTCAAGAGTTGCGTCGCTTTTGCTTTCACTGCATCCACGGACTCGAACCTGGTCCCTTTCAGCGCAGACTTGATTTTTGGGAAGAGAAAAA